GTATCAAGTATCAAGTATCAAGTATCAAGTATCAAGTATCAAGTATCGAGTATTTAGTATCGAGTATCAACTGTTAACTATTAAATATCGAGTACCAAGTATTGAATATCGACCATATAGTACCAAGTACCTTGTATTAAATGTCTCACATCGATTACCAAATATCAAATACCAATTACTGAATACCAAGTATCGAGTATTATAAACAAAACAATTACCTCACATCCTTCAGGAGTTTAGGCGATGTAGTCGCGGTGCAAGTGAAGTCTTCTATGTATCTATGCCGATTTTCGATTAGGCTACAATTGACGTTAGGCACACAAAGCATCATAAAATGGGGTCTCAGACGGCCAATCGTATACTTTGCTGTATCCGTGAGGAAAACAGTCATAACCGCTCCAAAACCGAATATTCCAATCTGAAACATCGAGATTGCAATTTAAGAAGATATATCTTACGTCTGTTAAACATATATCTATTATTTATAAACTAAAACGTATGAAACTCCTGAAGTAAAAGGAAAAATAAATAAAACATATTGTTTCGTATCGTTTTGAATTTATTGTAAAAGTAGTTTACGAACCGTACCTTATGAAATGCGTTCGAGAACCAAACAGGTATATTGTAACCACACAGTAACTTTGGAACTTCATTGCTGAAACTTGCATGGATATATTCGCCTATTAACATCTGCAACAAAATTATTAATATTTGGTCATCATACTTAAATTATTGAAAAACGGTGGAAATTGAAACATTCGCACACATATTTCTTTTTTTAGTATGGAAAACGTGTTTTTTGTTGTTAAAAAATGTTGACTACAAAATGTATTTATTATGGAACACTGTTTATTCCAGCATACACGATGATCACGTAAGTGGACGTTAAGAGTCATTTTTCATAACGTAGACAAACAACCTAAACCAAATAAAAAATTTGGTTTTCTAAGAATATTAATAATAAAAGAACGCCAGCAAAAATGCATTTATTTTTTAAAATATGTATATCGTTAAATACAAAATTTATTATTGTGTTCATTTAATTCCTCAAAAAACCTCCCTTTTCGAACGTTAACATTAGAATGTATCCTCGAAAAAATGTAAATGGGCATCAAAAAAATTGGAAAAATTTCGAGAATTATATACTCTCGATCACTTCGAGCCGTTTATATAGAATGATATCAAGTATCAAGTGTCAAATATTTAGTACTGAATATCGAGTATTAAATATCGAGTATTAAATATCGAGTGGTAAGTATTTAGGACTGAATATCGAGTATTAAATATTTAGTATTAAATATCGAGTAGCAAGCATTAAGTATCATGTATCAAGTATTTAGTATCGAATTTCGATATCAACTAGTAACTATTAAATATCGAGTACCAAGTATTGAATATCGAGCATCGAGTATCAAGTATTTAGTATCGAATATTATGTACCAAGTATGGAGTATCGTGAATCAAGTAACAAGTATTTAGTATCGAATATCGAGCATTAACTATTGAGTATTACATATCGAGTACCAAGTATTGCATATCGTGTATTAAATATCCAGTATTTAGTATCGAATATCCAGTATTAACAATTAAGTATTGAATATCAAGTATCAAGTATTTAGCATAGAATATCGAGTATTAACTATTGAGTATTAAATATTGAGTACCAAGTATTAAGTATTGTGTATTAAATATCCAGTATTGAATATCGAGCATCGAGTACCAAGTATTAAGTATATCGAATATTATGTACTAAGTATTCAGTATCGTGTATTAAGTATTTACTATCGAATATCAAGTTCCAAGTATTGAATATCAAGCATTGACTACCAAGTATTAAATATCAAGCATTGAGTAGCAAGCATTAAGTATCGAACATCAAGTATCAACATTTAGTATCGCATATCAAGTACCAAATAAGTACCAAGTTTTGAGTATCGAACATCAAGTACCAAGTATTGAGTACCAAGTATTAAATACCATGCATTGAGTACCAAGCATTAATTATTGAATATCAAGTATCAAGTATTTACTATCGAATATCAAGTGCCAAGTATTGAATATCAAGCATTGCGTACCAAGTATTAAATATCAAGCATTGAGTAGCAAGCATTAAGTATCGAATATCAAGTATCAACATTTAGTATCGCATATCAAGTACCAAATAAGTACCAAGTTTTGAGTATCCAACATCAAGTACCAAGTATTGAGTATCAAGCATTGAGTACCAAGTATTAAATACCGTGCATTGAGTAGCAAGCATTAAGTATCGAATATCAAGTATCAAGAATTTAGTATCGAATATCAAGTACCAAATATTGAATATCAAGCATTGAGTACCAAGTATTAAATATCAAGCATTGAGTAACAAGCATTATGTATCGAATATCAAGTACCATGTATTGAGTATCGAGCATCGAGTACCCAGTATTAAGTATCGTATATCAAGTACCAAATATTTAGTATCGAATGTCGAGTATCAACTATTAAATATCACGTAAATGGGACTCCCCAAAAAATTGGAATAATTTTGAGAATATATATTCTCTCGATCACTTCGAACCATTTATATCGAACGATTTCGTAGAAAGACTCATCTTCGTCCACTCCCATTCGTTCGCAACCATTTGCAAAGTTAAGATATCAACAACAATCTCCGCGCGAGGCTTATAAACCGTTTTACCTACAGCACAGCCCACCGAAGGGTTCCCGTGGCCTAAAATAAATGAATCGTTCGGAGATACATGACTTACTTCTTTCTACCCGTAGCCGCTTTATCGCGTCCCTAAGGGAGAAGAAAGGGAACACGGAACATCGAAACAGGTAAAAACGGTCGAAACCTGCCTTTGTACGTATTTTTCATTCATTCTCCCATGTCAGCTGTATCACCTGGCTACCTTTATCTGGGATCTGACCGGTTAACCTACTTTTGTGCGAGCTCGTGACTGATCGGTGGAACCCATTCGGTGGAAATGGGAGGGGGGGGGGGAGGGGGATAAGTTACAGAGGGCACAGAATCCCTCGGGAATTTTGGAGTCGTCGCTTTTCTTCTCGATTTTAAGGGACGAAAGCACATCAGAAGGCCAAATATAAAGTGTTTTACAGAACAGAATTTATGTAAGGATTTTATTTAAATCGTACCTAAAATATTTTCAAAGTTAAACAAAAACTTTGCGTAAATTCTGTTCTGTAAAACACTTAATATAACATTTTAAATCGTACCTAAAATATTTTCAAATTTAAACAAAAACTTTGCATAAATTCTGTTTTGTAAAACACTTAATTATAACACTTTAAATCGTACCTAAAATATTTTCAAAGTTAAAGTACGTTTAGTAATTTTTGTAATTTATTTCACACAGAAATGTTTGAGATAAAATATATTCTCGGAGATATTAGATGCTTGGGTTCGTAATGTGGTTTTTAACTTTAAGTATTTCTGGGTTTGTTTCTTTTTTACAGAGACAAATTTATGTCTATAGTTGCAAAAAGCTTCCCCAAGAATAGTAGAATTGATACTTCTTCTTTAAACATTCTTGAAAGATTCAATTTTCATCTTTTTCGACCGCAATTTAGTTTATATTCTTAGAAAACGAGTCAACAATGCAAGAGAAGAGTTTCGTTGCTTTCGAATAACAATTGTGATTCCTAGAATTTCCAACGATAGTAAACTATGGCGAAAACTTGCTACAAGTACCAAGTATTAAGTATCAAATATCAAGTACCAAGTATTGAGTATCGAGCATCGAGTAACAAGTATTGAGTATCGAGCATCGAGTACCAAGTGTTGAGTATCAAGCATCGAGTACCAAGCATCGAGTACCAAGTATTAAGTACCAAGTATTAGGTACCAAGTAATGAGTATCGTGTATCAAGTACCAAGTATTGAGTATCGTGTATCAAGTACCAAGTATTGAGTATCGAGCATCGAGTACCAAGTATTGAATATCGGACATCAAGTACCAAGTATTGAGTACCAAGTATTGAGTATCGAGCATCGAGTACCAAGTATTGAGTATCGAGCATCGAGTACCAAGTATTGAGTACCGAGCATCGAGTACCAAGTGTTGAGTATCAAGCATCTAGTACCAAGTATTAGGTATCAAGTATTGAATATCGAACATCAAGTACCAAGTATTGAATATCGAACATCAAGTACCAAGTATTGAGTATCAAGTATTGAGTATCGAGCATCGAGTACCAAGTATTGAGTATCAAGCATTGAGTACCAAGTATTAAGTACCAAATATTAGGAAAAGGTTATTTAATATAATTGAATGCAATGGAAATAGAAATTTAACATATCATTTAATACAATTGAATATAAAGAAAGTAAGAATTATTTCATACTTCTTAGTGAAGTTTTAATATTTTTTGAAGTTGGTTATATCTCTTTTTCAAAAATGATTTTATCCTTTGAACACCCATACAAAATCCAATTTTCATCTTTTTCGACCGCAGTCTTTAGTTCGTATTCTTAGAAAACGAGTCAACAATGCAAGAAAAGTGTTTTGTTGCTTTCGAATAACAATTGTGATTCCTAGAATTTCCAACGATAATGAAATCTGGCGAAAACTTGCTATAAGGAACAGCTTGATACTACAAGGAAAACACGAAAAAGCACGAATAGCGTGGCATATATTGTAAAAAATGCAAGTACCAAACGAATTAAAGAAGATAGATTTTCGAAGAAAGTTTAAAAATAATCAGGTTCCCACAGCAGTCACCAAAAACTCGAATACCTTTCCATATAAACAAATACAAATACTAAAAAATTAAAGAAGATAAAGTATAGTAAAAGAATTAAAGAAGATAGATTTTCGAAGAAAGGTTCAAAAATAATCAGGTTCCCACGGCACACACAAAAAACACAAATACCTTTCCGCATAAACAAACACAAATACTAAAAAGTTAAAGAAGATAAAGCATATTAACTCTTTCTTCTCGCGACAACTACGATAATCCCTTTCGAATAAAAGAGGGACGAAAAGAAGAGGCCCGGTATGTCGGAAGATATTTTAATCCTTCTAGCGACACGAGATCTACGGGGGATCGTGATCGTTAAGTGGAAAATCTGATTCGGTGGACAACTCGAAAGCTGCTTTCTTGTCAGGGATTGATCAGTGCCAGGCTGCCAGGACATGCTGAATAGGCTGGTCGTTCCATCTCTGTGATTCACGATTAAGAGGGAGAAACCCCATTATGAGATCAAATATTAACTCTTTGCGCTCGAGTGGCGCCTCTAGGGCGACATACAGTGACTCCCTGGCCCAGGAATATTCGGACACTAGTGTATGGTTAGCTTTATGACTTAATATCGTAGTTATTAAAAAAGCAATCGTCTTTGTTACTTTTTCCAATAATAAGTCATTTATTAATGTTATTAAAGATATATACATTAATCCAAAAATTTACATAAATTACATAATAGCAATAAACAAACGAAAGAATATCACATTTTCGGGTACGATAAAACACGGAGGAGGCATTGTAATGGTGTGGGGATGCATTTCGACTTCCGGCGTTGGCAATTTAGTTTTTATCGATGGCATCATGGTTAAGAATGCTTATTTGAATCTATTAAAAAGCAATTTAAAACAAAGTACAGACAAAATGGGGATTGCTGAAGATTTTAAATTTTACCAGGATAATGATCCTAAACATAAGTCGCGCATTGTCTACGAATTTTTATT